CAGCATGAATCTGGATATGAACACCTTCCACCGCATCCACCAAAACCAACGCGCCGTCGCTCATCCTAGTTGCGGTGGAAACCTCGCTGCAGAAGTCCATGCGTCCCGGGGAATCGATTAGGTTAATCGAACAATCACGGAATTTCAGAGCTATCAAGGAACTCTTCGTGGTTATGGCTCTTCTCTGCTCCTCGTCTAGGAAATCCATGAACCGGAGCTTCCCGGCCATTTTCAGATGGAGCAGGTCACCACCAGTCTCGGCGATTAAGTGGTCGGAGGGCAGAGGTTATGAGTTTAGGTTTTCAGGGTTTAGAGAGGAGAGACCGACAAAGGGGAGGGGAAAGCGGCGGGAAATTAAGTGCAGCCTTAGGGTAATTTGAGTTAGCTTAGGTTTAATTGACCCATGGAATTTTGGGAATTTGACAATTTTGGGTGCGTTTATACGAAACTCAGTTAACGTCCATAATTTTCTCACTTCATGTCGAAACTTGACACCGTTTGAACTATTAGTTCACATTTTTAATCCTCATCGATAATATGGTGGAACTTGACCCAAGGGTATAATAATCATTTTGACTTTTGGGAAGAGCGGGGTGTAACATTTCTTCCACCCTTATAAAAATTTCGTCCCCAAAATTTGATCGAACCCATCCTTTCATACTCCTCATTCTTGTGCTTCTTTGGCTCAAGATTTCTCTCTTTCTATATCAACTTCAATGGCGTGCCCTTACCTTGTCTTGAATATCTTACAATAGTTCTTATATGTACTCTTGACCAAAACATATATTCTCATCTAGCTTGGTAGCATCGAATAGGTTTGAGTGACTCATTGGCCTTTTCAAAATTTTCCAACTTGGGCCCAGGGTGTGATGGGACAAAATTTTGGCTCAATTTATTTGGTCCAACTGATTCAGTACTTGATATTGAACCTATTGAAGTCGAGGTATCACATTTCCTCCCCACTTATAGAAATTTCGCCATCAAAATTTGTCCACTGTGATTACCCTAAGCATCGCTTGTGGTAATCCTTTTCACTTCGCGGATTTTTATTTCCTTTAACTTATACGACATGACCTAAAATCCTTCTCTCCATTCCCTGCAACTTCAATGTTTTTGTGGCTTCTTAACCCCTCACATTATCTCGGCTGCACCTTGTACATATATAGGAACGATAACTATCCATTGTTCGGTACATGAGAAGTTAATGCCCCTCTCCAACCCCAAGGTCATTGATGGTGGTTTATCCTCCATCTAGTAAGGTGGTAACACTCTATTAACGTAACTCTCGTCTGGGGTTGACCTCATAGGTGACCTAGGACGTTGTACCTCCTAACTTTGTATCTCTTACTTTCTTCTTTGATGCTTCGTCTTATCCTTTAAACCATAAACTGAGTGGTCATCTCCTCATTACTTCTCGCTTAACTATGAAACCTCATATTACAGCTTTTACTTTCTGTATGCATTAGAGGCATCCGTTGCATCTTTCTCTAGCTTGCGATCAACCTTATGAACCATTTCAAGAATCATGATACTCCCTCTGGCTTACTTGCTCACTCCTGGCGCCTAACTTAGCACTTCCTTATAGCTGCTTGAATTTGATGTTCTTGTAATATCTGTTCTGCCGCTCTTAGACCCTAGCTGAAACTCCTCGTACGGTTTCCCCGTCCAATAAAGTTTTACCCGAGAGTTTGACACCTTTCACCAACATAGGCGATCTTGGTTTCACTTTGGGGTATCCTAGCCGGTTCCCTAAACTCATATCCCTCTTACTTCTTTACTCATGACTCTTCTTCTTGATGTTCCTTTCTAGTTCTAGATGTCCCTTGTTCTCGATGTAGTCCTCTAGGTCCCTATTTTCTCTTCTCACTTATGTACCATGATAGATAAGGTTCTCCCTTCGACTATTCCCGACGATCATGATTCCACCTTAAAAATTGACTGAAATATCTCGATGGACTTCCTATGGATCGGTTGTTCTCTACTTGGTGATCAACCTAATGCTTTCTTGTTGTCTGTTGTACTCCTGCTTCCGCCCATCTTAACTATCTTCCTTGATGCATACATCGCCAGGTCGATGCCAACCATTTTTTTTTCTATAACTTCCCATGGTGTTCTTTTTGCTTCTCTACTTTTACTACCACCAAACTACAACTCTTCTATTGTTGCTTGTACTATATTTGGTCACCAACCTCTGTTGAGTATCTTCTCGTTGTTGTTTTAGGTCACAACTTCCAATGGTGGCTTGCCCTTGGTAACCTTTAACATAACTCATTCCATGTCTCTTTTGTTGATCGATCTTGTACATAAACTTAGTCTCTTAGTTAGGATTCTTAGTGGCTTAACTAAGCGTGCATGTTTCATCCTTACTAGCTGTCCCCGCTGGAGCCCTCCTACTATGCCGCGCCCACTCGGAGTGGGGCACCTTGGATAAGGTAACTTCTCTTTTCCCCTTCTCTGTAATGCTTTTCCTCATCGTACCCCATTATGCATTTTCTTGAACCCGAGTCACCTACACATATTCTCAATCCTTCATCGAAACTTCCATGTGCTTCCTCGAATTCTCTGCCATTCACTAGAACATTTATTGAATGTTCCACTTACTTGTATATACTCGGTTGGCTTAATGACTTACTCTATAGCTAGTTCCGAGACTTCAGCTCTTAGCCCTCTAGTTCGAACTTAGTAGAGAGGTTCCTCCTTCTGTCACCCCTCATGTACCCTAGGCGGCTAGGTGTTCCCTCGATTTAGGAGAGGACAATCCCATAACAGATCATCGTGAACTCTTGCATTCCCCTTTCAACGGTCCCAACGACCTCCTGACCTTTCATGATTTGGGTAGTTTGTAGGGTCACTAATATCCTCTTTCTAGCTCCGTGTTGACTTAGTATTCAACTCAAGCATTGCTGAAAATTGGTTCTCTATTCGTACTGCCATTTACTAGCTAACTGTTATTCCCTCTCACATTCCATATCTTTTCTTACTTATTGACTCTCCTCTGTCTTCTACATGGCATGCTTTAGACTTTGGTGGAACTTTCCTCCACATCTCATCCAATGGTGGTCGTACTAAAACCATAACTTGTCCTCTACATCATTTATCTCGTTGCTTGTCTTGTTTCTTTTAAAGGCTTGTCATCAGCCTAACTCCCCAGGGTCATGTACCCTCTTCTGTAGTGACGTAGTTTATGTATAAGGGTTCCTTTGTCGTCATATGTAAATGACCATGCCTCATCTTCGCCTTGACTTATTGACTTCTTGACGTCCTTTCATACTCCTTATAACCTACTTACTTCCTCCTTTACTTCATTTATACTACCCTAGCTTCTCTTGAAGTCTAAGCTTTCCACTGCTCCTTGCCACTGTGTTGTAATAGCGCCGAGCTGTCGACAACTAAAACCAGTTGAGGGACTTCTCGTGATACCTTTTCGTTTCTTGGCTCGTTGCCACCTCGCACTTGCTTAGGGTCAAGGACCCTGAAATCCTCCTTTCATTATAGCCACTGCCATCTAGTGATTTTAACTCTTTCTTCGAAGATCTATATTTCTCCCCTTTGTTTGTCTTAGCTTATTAGATCATCCACTTGTTTCCTAGTAGTAAAATCCTCGTACTACTCTCTCAACTCCTTCAAAATCCTTGAGGTATTCCCTTTCAATTGACACCTCTTTGCTGGTGTATGGAGTTGAAGTCCTCGCACATTCGATTCTACCTCCACGAACCTTTGCAACGTTCATCCTTCCTTCTCTAGGCTGATGATGATGATCTGTTTGCTACTGGCTAATTAGAAAAATCCTCGTACTGCTCCTTCAACTCCTTCAAATCCTTGTACTTATACCTCGGAATATCCCATTGCGATTGATGCACCTTTTATTAGGACTAAAGTTATTTATCTTAATACGATTAGAGTAGACTGGAGATTCTATAAACTCTTAAAAGAAGATCCTTGACTCGTTTTCCTTTCCTTTAAAACAAAAGCCTTCAAAGCTGAGACCGATATTCCACTATTCCTTGGAGACCAAGGAACAGAGGAAGGCCGGCTCTGATACCAAAATGTAACACCCTAACCCGGCCGGGTACTACTTTTACTAAAATGGCCTTGATAAATAAAATACTCAAATCTGAAATTGCCACGGGAAAATTTTCATAAATAAAATACTGAAAACACACACTTGTAATTCAAAGCAAAGCCCTAACATGTGGGCAAATTAAACTCAAACTTTAAAATCTCAATCTGATCTCCAGTCTATACTCATAATCATAAAATGAAATTAACTAGGTAGTCTCTGTCGTTGCTGCTACTAAAAATCTTAACTAGGCATCCTCCATGACGCTTGCACTACCCTTCTCTAGTTGGCTGCCCTCGAACTTTTCCTCTCGAACTCGCTGCTCTCTAACTGCTCCTCTAGCTAGCTGTTACCGATCTGGTTCTAGCTCATTCCCTTTCTAAGGCCTGGTGAGTGAGATGGGGCCAGTCTACGCCCTTACGTTTTAATACGGGGATCCCTCACTAGCTAGTCCGGATGCCAACTCATACGTATGAGAAGCCATCCAGGCTTTCCTTAAACTTAAACTTAGTTAGGGGAGTCGTAACGATTCATCCTCCTAACATCTTAAACTTATCGTGGTGGCTCTTCACCACGATTCTCAAGAGCATAACTATTGCTCAACTTAAATATCTCAAGAGCATAACTGCTGCTCTGTCTCAAATATCTCAAAAAGCAACGGACTGGCGCTAGTGACTAAAAACACTTAAAACGACTTCACCTTCTTAAAGGTGAGTTACTTCTTAAAAAGAACTTGTTTCTTAAACTTTAACCATAGCTCAAACATAACGATTTAAGGTAAATAGAACAAAATCACCTCAAATAGCACAAAATCACCTCAAATCATAGCTCAAGCAAAACACAAATAAGCAATCATAAATATAAGCAAGCAACGGGAACCAATTCGCTAAAATACTCAAAATCATAATACTTAAAAGAATACGTAAGGCGTAGAATCTACCCCTTTACACTCACCTTATTAGTAAATTAGGATTGACCTCAACTGAGGACATGACGTTCCAACTCTTTGCTTTAAGTGCACAGGCTACGAAATCTCCATCCATCTAAAGCACAAACGAAAGCCACATTGCCCTTCTGAGGCTGGAACGTATCCTCCTCATCATCTTCCACAAACTCGAGATTCTCATCTCCCACTTCACCAAACTGACTAGCAAGCCTCGAATCAACATCAGACAAATACTTCTCAGACTTGTATCCACTCATAATCCCATTAACCTCATGAACTATCCTCAACAACCTTGTTTAAGCTTCCATGGGAGTCACCTCTAGCTCACTAATCAACCTATCCAGCTTATTAAGCACCATGCAGGGAGTTAGATTCTCAATCCAAGCTTGGCGGAGAACAACATGAGTCTGGATATGAACACCTTCCACCGCATCCACCAAAACCAACGCGCCGTCGCTCAACCTAGCTGCGGTGGAAACCTCGCTGCAGAAGTCCATGCGTCCTGGGGAATCGATTAGGTTAATTGAACAATCACGGAATTTCAGAGCTATCGAGGAGCTCTTCATGGTTATGGCTCTCCTCTGCTCCTCGTCTAGGAAATCCATGTACCGGAGCTTCCCGGCCATTTTCGGATGGAGCAGGCCGCCGCCAGTCTCGGCGATTAAGTGGTCGGAGGGCAGAGGTTATGAGTTTAGATTTTCAGGGTTTAGAGAGGAGAGACCGACGAAGGGGAGGGGGAAAGCGGCGGAAAATTATGTGCAGCCTTAGGGTAATTTGGGTTAGCTTAGGTTTAATTGACCCAGGGAATTTTGGGAATTTGACAATTTTGGGTGAGTTTATACGAAACTTAGTTAACATCCATAATTTTCTCACTTCATGTCGAAACTCGACACCGTTTGAACTATTAGCTCACATTTTTAATCCTCATCGATAATACGGTGGAAATTGACCCAATGGTATAATAATCATTTTGACTTTTGGGAAGAGCAGGGTGTAACAAGGGTGTTCTTGAATCTCTCCCAAGTGTCGTCGAGAGTTTTAGAGACTTCTTGGCGATAGGCAAGAATGTCGTTTCTCAGCTTCGCCGTCTTGCTAGATGGGAAAATTTTGGCCAAGAAATTTTCAGCCAAACAGTCCCACGTTGTGATAGACTATTTTGGTTGATAGTTAAGCCAATCTCGTGCATAATCGAACATTGTTCGATTGTTAAATTCAACCATTTCATCAACCATTGTGTGGCTGCGCTTGTTGCTCTCTCATTCGTTGAAGTAATATTCTCTCGATCTCGGGATTAAGGTCGAATGGTCCACGTGGGTGGTTTCGGGTCATGCACTATTTCAAGCACAAAGACAAGAACAACCCGTAAAACAAACAAGCAGGGTAGAACAAGTAACAAGAAAAATAAGGCGACTAAATTAATAGTTCAAAGCTTTTTCTAATAACTTAGTTCCCCGACAACGAAGCCAAAAACTTGATCGCCTGTAACTAACACATTAAAAATAGGCAAGGGTACCTATAGCTCTAGGGAAGTATAGCAGGAAGCAAGGTCGTATCCACAGAGACTATGTACAAGTACTTGGCTTTTACCTATTATTTAGTCAATCATTTTTAATGATTCTGCTTAGATATAAAAGCACATGCAATGATAAAGCACAATAGAATACTTTTCAAAGTAAAACCAAATGGAGAAGGTGTTGTCCTGGAAGTGAATTCCCCTAATATGCATTTTACAAACAAGTTGAATTTATCTTAGATGAGTGTTCTTATCTTAGACCGTGAAAATTCCCAATTTAGTGTTAACCCGTTTGCACATGCATTAACACCATATCGACTTAAGAATCAAGTGAAATCGTGGTTGACAAGACTCTTAAACCAAAGCATTAACACGACTTGTAAATTTCCGTATTAAGTTTTTAACCTAATTCAGAGGAACTACGTGGAAAACATCGTCGGTGGCTTTGTTCAGATCCTCCTTTACACAAGAGATCTAACATGGAAAATTACCTCACAATATCATTTACATGTATAAGAAAAAATATACAATAGACGAGTACTATTGATACTTGCACATGATAAGTCGAGAAAATATCGTAAGAAAAAGAACAACACGTCTATATCAAAGATACCACTCAGTCCATCTAAAACATATTAGGGTTCATCAAATCCAGAACAACTAGAAGATTAATCGAAGATGATGAGATTTAGTAAGATGAAGGTTGAGAAAATTACCATGATGACGACGATGAAGAACGAAGGGGTCGAGAATATGGTGTATATATTGAATTAATAGATTACACCTAGCAAACATCCGATGGAGAATAATCGTTGGGCGAAGACGGTGCAAAACGACCAATCTATTACTACAAATGAATATCAAAACCCCACATAATAGATGTTTACTTCGGTACTCTCAATAATGCAATATACCATGGTATTCTCAAATACGAACATGAACTTGAGAACCACGACGGATGAACTACAAGATATGACTAACGTAATGAAAAGTAGTAACAAGAGTTTGAAATGGAAGTGAAGAGAACCTCGGCTAACTTCAAACACAAGAAAGGTAGAACAAAGTATAAAAGTAGGGTGTGTTTTGTGTTGTTTCTTCTCTTGCAAGCTTCTATTTATAGGCAGAAGCAACACAAACGCGGTCAAGGAACACGTTAGTGTTCCAGGCCATGTTCGTAGTTGGTCGAACAATCCATGTAGACAACGTTGCAGAGAATGTTTCTCACCGTGGTCGAAAGCGAGATGACCCATCTCTGGCAGGCTCCCACCTGTTTCCGTACATTCCCTCCTATTTTCTTTAAAATCACCGCCAAATTATTCGCCGAGTGTTAGGTGAACCTACTTCAATATTAGGCAAGTCCGTGGCCTTGGCTAGCGTTCAGATTGCCCCCCCCCCCTTTTGCTAGGCGCCCAACCCATGAACAGGATGAACAACTAGGCACCTAGTCAATCATTCCACAAACTACATCTACTACTTGGAGCCTGGCCCTTAGCCTCGATCGACTAACGGGGAGCCTAGTTCGTCGCCCTAGTTTTTGCCATTTATGGTAGGTGTGCCCCATTACCAAGATAAATGACTGGGCGCCTAGTCAATCCTCAAACTGTGCCTGCTACTTAATTCGTCTTTGGTCTAGGAGCCTACACCTTGGCCTCAATCGAATGATAGGGTGCCTGGTTCATCGTCTCAATTATTATTTATGATAGGAGCGCTTGTAGTTACGTGGTCGAACTCCTGCCCCAAGCAGCCGAGATTTTTTCAATTTCAAATTTCAAACCTGTGAAGTGCTGTCTCTGGTTCTACGTAGGGCATCTCCGTCGCATTCGGCGCAAAGAGCTCGCCAAATTCTCGCTACACGACAATCAACCGTTCCATCATTTCTGTGGGTTCCTGTGAGGACACCTTTACTTGCCTCTCGGGGTGCCCCTCTTCTAAAGAACCCAAAAGATCTTCGCCAGCAGCCTTTGTGCGTCTCGCCTCTTATGGCACAATGTCTACTACATTAATTCTTGGGTCCTTAATCAGACGCCTACTCCTTGACTCCGTAGCATAGCGAGGGGCGTTCCATCCCCAGGCCACTCCCACTCCTTGTGGGGCAATTAATTTTAGGGTTTGATGACAGGTGGACGCCACCCCATTGAATAGGGCCAAGAGGGGTCTATCCAGAATTGCATTGTATGGGGAGGGACAGAATACAATCACAAAGTCTTTGGCATGAGTGACCCTCTACTCCTCCTCTCCTGTGGTTAACGGCAAGTGCACACGACCAATCACCCGCGCAAGAGCCTTGGGAAACACAATCAGAACCGAATTCAATGGTTGTATCAAATCTGGCAACAACTACATCCATGTCATTGTGTCTTTGAACAACACGTCCATAGAGCTCCCAGTGTTGACGAGCATCCTCTTTACCTTGCATCCCGCAACCACTCCTTGTATCTCCATCGCATTGATGACTACATATTTACACATGTTTACACCCTCATTTGTTTATCAATTTGGCTTTGATTAGTGTTCTCTTTGGCCTATTTTATGCTAGGTTGTGTTATTTTGTCATACTTCAGGTCCTAGCACGTAAAGTGAACATATGCGCAAGTTTCAAGTAAATCGGAGATGAATTGGCGATTCGGGAGAAGAAACTCGAACATGACCTGAAGAATAATAGATTTATACCTCATTTAATGGAAAAGTAGTCATGTAAGCTTGACATGAAAAGAAAGAGGATGAGACTATGAGCATTTGGGATCAAGCAGCGACTGACTCGGAGTCTGGACGATGGAGAAACAAAGCATCAAAGACAGTGGAACAAGAGCTGAGGAAGAAACACGGGCAGACTGCTGAAGGGATGCAAAACACGGGCGAGATTAAACATGGGCAGGACTAAACACGAAATGTTCACGATAGTGTTTCTGCCCCTGCTCAGGTATAAGTCTGCTTTCTGCAATTTTAGAGAGGGAGAGCTGGGTTTTGGTTCCCAAACACCCAAGGGACGAACCCTAGAGAGAGAGCGACTTGGCAACATTCTAGGAGCTATTTTGGAGGATTTATTTGCCGTTGGATCTTGGGAATCAAGCTTGGAGATGGAGATTGAAGATCTAGATCGGATTCTGCATTCTCTCTTTCTCTATGGAGTAACTTTCCTTCACTTAGGTTTTGGGGAACCCTAGTTCCATGTATTAGGATCTTTCTTGTATGAACTTTTGGATGCTATTCTTATTGGCTTTAATCTTTTGAGGCATGATTTGTTGAGTCAATTGAATCCTAATAATATTCTCTTGATTTTTGCTTTAACCTATGATAGATAGAATCTGATTAGGTTAAGTGAGCTTCCTTGATTGATAGTAGTGAATTGATTGTGCGAGAGTCAATCAATTCATTGCTTTGTACTGGAATTCGTTCCAAGTAGTGGGGATCTGCGTGAATCGCCTTAGTAGTTTATCCCGGTGAAGGCTAGTCGCCTACCGGGTATTCTCTCTAAAAGGGCTTGGTCATCTAATGAAATTCCAAGCTATTTTTGGATCTTCCGCAGTCTAATCAGTAGTAAAATGATCAAAGAAACTACAACTTGGACCTAATTGAAGAGCTAGGTGGAATCATATCTAAGTGAGTTCCCAACCTGTAATTAGTAGTTTAACCTTAGTTTAGTTAGTAGAGTAGTTTAGTATATCAATATTTAATCTGGTTTGCTAGATAATGAACTGAAGCTGAGTAATAGTAACTCTAGAGATTCATGTATTCGATATGTATTACTTGTGCCACTATACTGTAGTCCCTTTCTTTTGTTACATTTGGCCATTGTTAGGAGTTGTGTTTTAGCGCGTTAAGATTTTGGTGCCGTTGTCGGGGACTTTCTAGATTATTAGGAAAGGCATAAGTTTGTTACTTTAGATTTTCTTTCTTTTGTTTTCCTTTTCCACCTTGTTTTTCACTTGGGTGGTTTTGTTTTTGTTGGTGCATATTTGAATCATGGATCCTCATGGCTTCTCTAACCCCTGGGGGTATCCACCATCACCCGAGTGGTATCACCATGAGACTTCCTGGAGCAATCAACGAGGAGAAAACTATGGATTCGGGTTCCCGAACCAAACCCCCTACTACGGAGAACAACCAGACCCTTAGGAACCTCAATAACAACCAGACCCTTGAGGAG